AATTTTCGGAATCAATGCCAGCTGCCAGGAAAGTCCTAATATACTAAATAATTTGATATTTTCTCAAGCAAATATTTACGAATGTACAGGAGATTACAAAGCCCACAAATCCTCACATCCCAACTTACTCCAGGGGTTCTAAATGTAACTCGTAAATACGCAAAAAGTAATCACAATGAAGTTTCGAGATACTTACTACATTTTGTCTCCAAATTGCATAACAGTTTTGTGAACGTTTGTTCCCAGAATAATAAAATCTTAGCGAAAATATTAGGTACGCGATAAAACTATTACTAGATTTGTAGTGCTGCCAATCTTTGGAGATCTATCGATGGTTTTTTTATGGACAGATAAATGGAGCGATATTTTTTTTCTCATCGGATTTCGTTGATTACAATAATAACTGACTCAATTAATAACTAATAGTGGACAACAATTGGATTGACTTCTTTAAATTACGATACTGCTGTTTTGTGTGAAGCCGGAGACGAAGGATTAGCTAGGATATAAGTTTTGTTTATTTGTTTGATAACTAAAATGTTTAACTGTACAACGATATTAAGTACATAGAAACGTAACACAATAACCCATTTTTATCTAGCGTCCACAATCAAAGCTGTCATAACCAGATTTAGCCGCCCTGAACTAGTTTACCCATCGATTAGAGAATCCCAATGCATATCGATAACTGCTTATCCACCACTAGTTTATTTACGACGGCCTATTTACCCAGTTCACGAGCGAAGATAGTACAAAGCTTCATAAAGGTAAGGAGGGGTGTTCACAAGCTGTCTTAGGCAGATAGAGCTTGAACCAGTTTAGCGCGAGGGGAAAATACGTTGACCTCAATTCTTTTTACGTTTCTACGAGTGCTTGTGTCGCTAAGTGACATTTTAATTTTAAATGCACCGTGTTAACAATTTGTGATATCGTACGGTGCAGTTAAAACAAGGTTAGGTTAGCTGAAACAACAGACAGACTAGTAAAAACAGAACATTTTGATAGGTAATCTAAATCTACAACATTCATTAAATTACCACAATTTAGTTAGGTGTAACCTTTTTAGTTAAACGATAGTAATAAAGCTGTTACCACAATTTTATTTTTCTAATAGCTACCTAGTAGTATAATAAAATATTAATACGGTACGGGATATATTTACACACGATTTACTTTTTAAATTCCAATAATTGCATTCTAATTTCTAAAACAGCAATACTGAAAAATACTTAGAACTCACGGGAGAGATTTGGTTGTGATTGATTTCGATTCATCTTAGCACTCCCAAGAGAATTCAGTTATTCCAAAAGGAAATTTTCTGAGAGTTTGACTGATGGCTAAGCTAATGCTAATGTTTGTTTCACACAAAACACGAGTTCGAAATTATAATGAGAGATCTTCGAACTAAAATGTATTAAGAATGTAAACGCTGCTTTTAAAAGCACAATTACCTCCCAAGATTCTGTCTATCGACCGCAAAATTGTCGAAGTCCATAATGCTGACCTGACACATGCAGCGAACGAAACTGGTTCCAAATCTTTCGTGTGTTTTTAAGTGGTCAGGGAAATGAGAATACTAACTGGACTATCAGTCCCCCTGGAAGAAGTAACTTTTGTGATAGACACTGTCGTGGCCTTCCCCACCGTGGGCCACGGCATAATGCTGAGCGGAGTCCCATTGCGATGGGCATCGCTGTTGCGACAGACAGCACTGCTCAGTTCACTTTTTATTTCCTTGTAATAGTTATGTGCTATTTCTGTCATTTTTTTCTGTATACGTTCTCTGTCCTTAACTAAATGATGTTCATCGTAATAAATGTTTCTTTCTTTCTTTGATAGTTTTAATTCAGAAATCGCTTCGCTCTGCCTATTTGTCGCTCCGTGAAACGATCGCGAACCTGATTCTGTCACCATCAGCATTGTTACTTGGTCTAGGAGGTAAAGAAGACGCATTTTGCAATCTCTGAATTAAAATTCACATACTCTATTAACTTACACAAATCTGTGAAAATACATTGCTTGCTTTTTAATCAGTGCCAAATGCCAATACCTAAATGACTATTGCGCACTTTTTGTATGCCCTATTAGCTAAAATGTCGTTTCAGGGTGACTCTATTGCGTGTTGTCGATGACTCATCTTAAATGTTTGTAGATTAACAACTAAAAAATCTATACAGTTACGATTTTTTTGCCTTGGACAGTCCACCGCTGCAAACAGGTAGGACTAACACAAAATTATAGTCTTATTCACCTAAGATGATCCGTATGACGTTTCGAGTTTGAAAGATTTAGAGATGTCACATAACTAAACCTTAGCGATTTATCATCGATTTTTTCCGAAGAGTTAGTTAAACCTACTTTTAGAGAAATATTTTGTATAGGTGTTAAATAACAAAAAACATGTTTTTTACAATTACAAATATTATTGTAACAATGTTTTATTTCATAATATTCAAATTTCATGGTTCATGTTCAAAAAAACGATTCCTAAAAAGTACTGGTTCTGTTTCTTTAAATTAAAAACCATTAATTTATTTTTAATGCGTTTATTAAAGTCAATAATCGAAAAATATAGTTGACTAGCGGCCGCCCGCGACTTCGTACGCGTGAATCCCGTTTTTCCCGCTAATTCCCGTTCCCGTGGGAATTTCGGGAATTCCTTTCTTAGTGCACCTCTACGGTACCTAAGCTACGTCCTTTCCAAATTTCAAGTGCCTACGTTTAGCCGTTTAGGCTGTGCGTTGATCTGTCAGTCAGTCAGTCAGTTTCTTCTTTTATACACCGCGAAGCCGCGGGCGGAAAGCTACTAATGCCTTTAACATAAAAACTGTTCATAAACTTTCGCATAGTAAGTATATTCATTTGTGAACAGGTTTTATACCATTAAAGGCCGATTTTTCAATCTATTTAGATTTTTGTGATGTTTTTAATAACTAAGTATTCACTGCAATCGATTAATGAAACGCGGAAATAATCGATTTTATTATACAAGAAATACCCCAGCACTAAATCTATTCCGTTTCACACATTGCGAACATGAAATAAATGATATTTTTACATCGTATTTAATTAAAATATAATCAATAGACTCAGATTTTACTATATATTTCAAGACAAGGTAGTTATTTTTTTTTATTATATTGCTAATAAAATACAAATATTTTTTCAAAAATATTCTGCATATGTAGTATGCGTAATATGGATAACCTTGAAGTGTCATACGGATCATCTTACGTGAAAAGGACTATAATAAGGCAAAAATGTTCTTTGCGGAAGTTTTCTCCTGCAATGCGTAATGGGCGCGGCTGTAGAAATGTAAGAAGTTTTTGAGAGAAACCAAAATTATTTCTACTACCTGGATCTCAATATTACCTTTTGGATGTAAATACGTGTATAACAAAACTATCTTTTGAAAATTTTTCAGCAGATTCATTTTTGTTTTAAATTTTTATGGTCACTAAAGTCACTAACATAATTGTTGCAAGCTTGCAACAGTGCCGAAATATCGGAAACTCAAAATTAAGGTACATGGTAGCAATCCCGTCAGCAATAATAATAATAATCTTTCAGTAGATTATAAAGTAATAATCATAGCTCTGTAAAACACTTCGAATAACCGGTATAAGTACCTACCTACTTAACATTGATCAATGTTACTGAATCTCCCACGCACTTTCTCTTGGGATAAATGGTTATCATTGTTTGCTAATTTATACTGTTAATGTAACAGTTATAAGTCTATACCACAGAATGCCTAATAGGGTATACCGTAAAAGTTTCAAGGAACAAACTTCCTTAAGTGCATGAATGAGTGGATTGATGTTTAATGTTTATTACTTTACTGACGTTTGCTTGTGGAAAACTATAAATAACACCTAACAAAAAAAAGGAGGACACCGTCAGGTATTAGTGAGAGCGTAGGTATCAACACCCTAGTCATTCAATGTACCAACAATAATTACAAATCCTAAACAAATAAGGCAAGTTTTCTTCTACGTCTACTGGTGAAGCTACGGCTATTACGGTAGGTATGCCAAGTAAGTTCAAACTGTACAGTACAGAGACTGTAAGTTACAGTACAAGTGTATTTGACGTACGTACGTACTATCCGCATTATGTTAGAATAATAATTATATTTCTATTCAACATGTACAACAATACAATCAACTATTGTGAAATTCGCCGAACAACTAACCAGCTTTTCTCTTGCAATGTGAGCACTTAAAATAGTTTCTTTATCACTCATTAACTAGTAAGTTACAATTGGTTTCACTGCTTTGAATTTATTTTTAAACATGAAAAAAAAAAAAAAACATGAAACACTATATTCGCATTTTCTAATGCGTGAAACTTTCGCGATTATTTTCCGCGATTTTTTGACAAAACTTGACATTTTATTCAATGACAAGACTTTGACTTAAGACAAAGGTTTCATATCCATGAAGGTTACATTTCGAAAGAACTTAATAAAAATATAATTATTAAAGTTCGCGTAACGAGAGTTGAGACTATCACAAGTAAAGATTTGTATCTGTATACGCTTGTCACGCTGACATTTTACGTATTCTAACTGATGTGTGTTCTGTATTCAAATATTACAGCAGTGTATTTGTTCGCCTCAACTTTTCTTGTGCCACCTCTAAACATCAGATTGCTTAAACTAATAAAACTTTTCGTGTGAACTGCTAATTAGTTCTCCTTGCCTACCTAATCCAATTATCGCTTTTTAATTCAAACTTAATAAAAAAAAACACACTGGTAAGTAGAAAGTTGAACTTGTTAACCAGTTCAATCAGTCTTCGTTTATCCTAGAAAATGAGATTGATTTTTGAAACTATTCGAGTTTAACTGCTTAAGCTGAAGATTATAATAATTATAATGTGATCCTGGGTACGTAAAGCCAAGTAACTGCCCCATCTAAACATTAACTAAAAAAAAGTATAGCAGGTAATCCTGCCTTTTGCTGCATAAAAAAAGAAAACAAAACAAATACCACTCACCAATAGCCCTGTTCCCTTGAGGCATGACGACCGGGCGCTGATCGGGCCTGAGGAGGCTCTCGGCCTCCGCCCCTCCTTGATGAGACATCTCCATGGCTCACGCGTGCACCAATATCATAACCTGCTCACGGACATCTGTGGTCTTCGTGGCCGAGTGGGCGCGTGTCTAGAAACAAAGAAACATGGGTTATTTTGGGGAAAAAAGGCTTTAAAGTAAGTAAGCTAAGTAGTCTAAGGATATTTGGAATAAATAAAAAAAATCTTTCTTTAAAAAAATGTGTCATTAGTAAAAGGTATTGTAAGGTGGAACACAGGACAGGAAGGTAATCTTCCATTGTCGCGTTATCTGATTCCCCTGACCGTTGTCAGAAACGTACCTTAAAGGGTTTAGGACAATTCTTCCATAAAAGAATCACATGGGGCTTTAGCTGGCATGATATGGATGGATAGAATACTATCATAGGTACCTACTGGTAAAAAATCTCAAGCTGGGACAAATAGTGACGTGTAAGACCTCGCAGAATACAGACTTTTATCGACCAATAAAAAGTTTAGTCGGCTTCTAATATTGTATGAGAAATCGATATCAAAACGGTGTAATGTGCATACTTTTTCCGATTAAAAACCCAATTAAACTATCGACAGACAAAAGTCTATAGTTTACGAGGACTATAATAGAGTAACATTGCTAAGTTTAGAAAATTTCTTAGTTCTTGAGTAACTGCGTTTCAAACGCAGCGCGGGGGGCCCCCCAGCAAGATTAAGATGGAGCGTAGACAGTAGCGATTGTAAAATTTGTAACCGGGGATTGGTCTTGACGGATTATATTACTTGTAAGCTAAATGTGGCATTGACAGCTGATTTCCGGTTAGTGGAGGTCCAGCTGTGGGCTAGCTAACGTACTTAACTTATGTAGGTGATAATGAAACAACGCTTCTTTAGCAGGAAATTAATGTTACAGGCATACCAGATTAATTTGACTCCAAGAACAAATAACAATCCAACAGACACATGTGATGGATATTAAGAGTATAACTATAAGACAAGGAATAAATCATACACAATACAGAAGGCAATGTAGAAGCATGAGGGTTTATATTACAAGTTCCTTGGGCTGTCACTCAGGGCCAAGAATATGGAGATTGATGTTGCGACAGGATCAAGATTACTACAGTTGTCTGCGTTCTTTACCAACATAATAAAATGTATGAAGTACATCAGACTGAACTTTTTTTAATGCAAATTCGCCCATATTGCATGCGCATGTTTAAAAGTCCACCGAGTTTAGATTATAATGGTAGCAGGAAGGCGCTGGATGCAGACCGCTACCAACCGATTATATGGAAATAATTGGGGGAGGCCTATGTCCAGCAGTGGACGTACTATGGCTGATAGTTAGTTAGCTTTGCAGGGCAATCGAATACCGCACTTAGCTTCTTGATTGGGCCATTGTACGCGATTTGTGGTTTATCTTCCTACTTCAACCACCCCAGATCCCCCCAGAAGGCAAGCAGCCCGTCTAGGCTGATATGATGATGATAATGAGAATTTAGCTTGATGTGCTGTAGTCTCTACAACATACACATAGGTATGTACCTTCAGTCGTACAGTCATGAATATTATAGCCTTGCAATAACTTACATCATTATTTATTCATAATAGAAATGCCGACCGCAGAATATTTCCCACACATGAATTAAATAGCTACTCGATACGTGAAAATGTGAATCGAATATCAATTCCGTCGATATCGTACTCAAATGTACGTTATGTAAAGCGTTGAAATCGATTTGGCTAAGCGACTTTCCACGTTGATAGTTCGATTCTGATGATCTAGGCAGGCAATTCTATTTCGTGCCTACAACACAAAGCTATAAGCCATTGCTTGTGAAGAAAAACGTTGTAGCATCATGCAGACGTAATAAGGGCGCTTTTGCAACTAAAATGTAGGTACAACTTGATGTGCTGCCGTCCGTACAAAAACTAAGATCGATTTCGATCGATCAATTCGCAACGGCTTTGGTTTGAAAGCGAAAGTAATTTAAATTCGACAAAAGGTGTCATTTTAAACACTTTTTAGTTTAAAAGTTGTCATGTGTAAAGAAAATTCATGATGAGTGTTCAATTACTTATCACTGAAATTATAATAAAATCGTCGACAAACATTGTTTTAAGATTATCAAGACAGGAAAGCACTTAAACTTCAACCGAAATACGTACATTTTAGTCACGCTGCCTTTTATCTTCACGACAACCTTAACACCAAGGAAAACACTTCACTAAAGTTCACGGGCAACTTGTCTGACACTTGAAAACTTTAGTTACTTTAAGTCGAGTTAGAGGGTTTTCTGACCGACGAAGAAATATGGGTTCCGGTGATACGACGCGAGCGGTACGGCCGGTCTCCGAAATACAAATGGACAATCATTTGACTCCGAGATTCGATCAGTGGACAGTCGGTCTTTGTAGCCGTAATGCCACAACACAAGTGAAGTAGTCCTTCGCGACACAAATGACGCACGTTTTTTCACGACGATATGAGAGGTTATCGAAGCAAAATTCGATTATACGTCTCAATAGATAAGTTTATTTTGTTATAATTAAATGAAATGGATAATTGATATCCTATGTAGAAAGTTCCTCAAAGCCATTTTGTTGCGAATCTGACTAATGATTCGTTTTAGACGTAAATTACTAGTTTGATCCTGTCCTATGATGATGTTGATTGGAACGTTTATCTCATCATGAAAGATGTGCAGACATTAATAAGTGCATTGGGGCATCTTTTACAGATTTAATAGAAGTTATATTGCAACAAACATCATTTATAAAACCACATTATGCTGTCGCACGACTTACTGCACCTTCTTTGACTGTGCCAATGCTGTCATTCGGCAAGTTCAAGGCATCACTTATCGCCGGTAATCTCGCTTAGCAACAAACGCGATATCTCCACGTTTATTGTTGTTTATAAGTGCCATTAGCGTTTCCCTCGATTCTTACAGTTCTTTAAGGGATACATTATCTGATGGACAACACCATCTTATGACGCGTCGAAGCGAAGATTTGATCCAAACTTCCATAAGTGAGAACTTATTTTGACTATTTATGATTTAAATGTGTTCTTTATTTATAGGTTATTCGTCTTTCTTATATGTCTTATAACGGTGTTGGAATATTTATGACTATCCTAAATAAATAGCGTATCGAGGATATCGTCAACAAAGTGCTTTAAATAGTAACAAAGCAATAAATATGTTTCCAAGTTAGGTTTCAACTAAATTGACTCACTTTGTTCGTTTTTGGGTGGGTTGGGTTAAAAAAAGATTCAATTTTACACCAAAGGTTGGTGAACCGATAGCTTTTGATCTTTGAAGCACATAATTTAAAAAAACCAAAAAGGCAGGATGAGATAATCGCAAACATCGATGACGCATCAGCGAGCCATGTCAATGTGGAATGTTCGTCTCGCATTACAATCTGGCTAATGATTGTTAGAACAAACATACACTCATGCATCGATTTGCTGTTTAAATGTATTTTCAAACACTGTAGATACCAGGATGGTTCCGTCGGGGAATGGCGGGATTTATTAACAAAAGGAACCTTATTCTGATAGTATAGTCAGTCATCAATCATTTATTTTAATAAATTAGGTAACTCACTAAGAGAAAAATCTAACGCCCGTATTCACAAAAATTACTATGAGGTCTCACAGTGCGCGTGGACGCACAGGGTGACACACGAACCAATCACAGAGCTCTATTCAACGCTGTGCGTTCGATTTACTGCTTCACTTAAGCAAGCATCGTTTGTGATATACGGGCGTAGATGTAACATAACTTTAACTTTTTTAAAGATGAATGAAAAGGAATTGTCAATTAATATTCTGAAAGTTTTCCGTAATATTTGTTTACGGTGTGCCATCCGGGTTCATTTTTGAGCCATAAATCTTATAATGTCAACAAGTTAACGATATGCATGCCGTTACATCATCATTTGTGTTCAAAATGAAGATAGCCATGAGGTAATTTTGTACGCTTCATTCAATGATATTATGCTATACAGAATACAATTTAAGTTAGAATACCAATAGACCGCGCGTGCGTCAGTAAACGGTACACCAGCTTATGAAATTCAGATAAGAATCGCACCCGTTTTGGTATTAGCATCTTGCTACCATTGTTTGTGATGATAAACATGATACTGGTTACTGATTAGGAAGTTTAACTTGTCAACCAGTAAAGCCAGACATACAAAAAACAATCGTTACGGCTTTTGGATTAATTTGAGTTTAGACAAATTGAATACGACGTAATTATATCGATGACATGCACATAAAAGATGAGGTCACACAGAAACATGGAGCATTTAAAAATAAGAATGCAAGAATCAATGATATATTGGAAGTATTTTGGTCATATTCACTAATGACAGCGACCATAAAAATTTAAGATTCTCTGAAGTGAGTCCTTCAAATTCAAACTAACCCTGAAATTCCTGAAGTTGTTCAGTAGTCAGATGGACAAAACTCTACATTAACGCTAGTGCAATGCTTTATTATCCTACGTTTTTTTTCCATAGTCAGCTGCTTTCAACCTTTAACGTCGTTGCCCAAAACAAAACACAACCCACGTTAACAATCGAAAGCGTGATATCCCCAACTAAAGAGATTAATTCAACCCTACCAGTACCAGGTTATTACGAGTTAGTTCGCTGATCAGATAACTCGATAACAGAAGGGTTCCCAAACTGCTTGTAACTTGATTACGAACTTCCGAATGCGAGGATATCTGCAGAGCAAAGGCATTTGCCCTTTTCCTCGACATCTTCAATCTGGTATTTGTATAGGACAACTAGGGGTCGCAATACCGAATCATTTCAGCAAAACCGGTATTTTCGGTATTGGCTCTAGACCAATACCGATAGTCCGGTATTTTCGATATTTCCGGGATTAAGCTAAAGTTAGCAAATTTAGTATAATAAAGTTAGTTTGCGGAGGAATAGTAAGTAGTAGGGCTTGCAATATCGGATAGTTTTCAATTCCGGAACTGATTTCCGACATAGGGCACTCAACTCCGGAATTCCGGTACTAGTTCCGGAATTGGTTAAAAAAATAAAGCGCCTCCCGACAAACACCTACACGTATGTGGCCTCCACTTCAGAACCTTGCCCCATCGGCCGTCTGTTCTACGTGCTATATACCTACCCCTGCCCATTGCCACTTTAGGTTGCTAATCCGACCGCTATGTCAGGCAACTGTAGTTATTTTACGAATCTCCTCATTTCTGAAAAGAAACACCTAGCGAAGCCCTCTCCATAGCATGCTGTGTAACTTTGAGCTTATTATAAGGCCTATAGTGAGAGGCCACGTTTCCGAACCGTATGTCATCACTACTGGTAACACACTTTCGTGGACTCCCATCTTTAGGCACTGAGGTGTTGTGGTCGAAAAGATGTTATGTAGTTTCCCGAACGCCGTTCAGCCGAGTTGGATTCGACGTATTATAACATCTCCCTGCTTCACAGCTCGCTGCAGAGGAATCGTGAAAACCTCGTGCTCAGCCAGGCTTAAAAACCTTCTCATAGTGCAAGAACGCCAGTCATAGTGGCAAGTTAGACTATTCGGTCTTCTGTATAACCTGCCGTAGCGTATATATGTAGTATATGGTACTGTGTACCCTTTTCGAAAACCGGCTTCTTCGAGAGGCTATTCCTTAAGGCTTTAACCCCTTTCTTGAAGAAAAACACCACCACGCCTATGTTCCATGCCTCTGGCATAATTACAGTCTCTGAAAGACTTTCAGTATCGTTTTCCACGCGCCGCGTTCAGAAGCTCCGAGGTTATTCCGTCATTCATCACCCGGTGCCTTGTTTGTTCTTTAGCTGTTTGAGAGCCATCCTAATCTCGTATGGCTGATGTCCTGAATATCTTCGGTATAGTGTCGAGTCAGCTTAGCCCTTGGTTGGGACCCTCAGCTTTTGCTGAAATTACACTACCGTCCGCTGTCTTCAGCTTCGTCAGCTGGCTTTGCCCAATAGAGTACTTACAACTCACTCACTTGCACCGTTCGCGCCACGCCATTGGCTGAATTGGCTCGTTCGCTAATCATTGCGCGGGACAGAGAGAAACTACGCAATATCTTTCTGTCACACGAAAGTCTACAACCAATGTGTGTTACCAGTGATAACTTATGGCTCTGAAACGTGGCCTCTCACTATAGGCCTTATACAGAAGCTCAAAGTTGCACAGCGTGCTATGGAGAGGACTATGCTTGGTGTTTCTTTGCGAGATCGAATCAGAAATGAGGAGATCCGTAAACGAACTAAAGTCACTGACATAGCCCGACGGATTAGCAAGCTGAAGTGGCAATGGGCAGGGCACATAGTACGCAGAACTGACGGCCGATGGGGCAGCAAGGTTCTGGAATGGAGGCCGCGTACCGGAAAACGCAGCGTGAGACNTTCAAAGTCAAAATCCGGATTTTTTTATAGCCTCAAAATCCGGATTTTTCAGACATTTTCGAATTTCGAATAATCCGGATTGCAATCTCTACGTGAGACGTCCACCTGCAAGGTGAACCGACGACATCGTAAAGGTAGCAGGGAAGCGCAGGACGCAGGCCGCTACCAATCGATCAACGTGGAAAGCATTGGGGGAGGCCTATGTTCAGCAGTGGACGTCCTATGGCTGAAATGATGACTAAAACCGAAAATACCGAATATCCCGGTTTTTGTGAAATGAATACCGGTATTAATTAGACCTAAATTTGGACCGGTATTCCGGTATTTTCGAAATTCGGTATCCCGGTTTGCGACCCCTAAGGACAACTGACCTTATGTGTATTACGGAGGAAGGAACTAAATGGATCAGGAGCGTGGGGTGCATTTAAGTCAATTATGCAGCATCCATCACGTACAAAGTAGTCCTTTCCTTTTGGAGAAAAGTGCCATAACAAGTAGGTATCTTAAAAGAAAAATTCAGAATTGAAGATTTTTGTTAGTGGCGAGTTCAATCATAGTTTAACTTTCCCTTGGATTAGCTTATCCTTATCTGGTTGGGTTTTTAATGGTCGAGCAGCAATAGCTGTAGGTAGGTCCTATAAGTTGCAGAGATGGAAAGTTTTTAACAAAGATAAATCACGTATGAATAAGGCAACTAAACGAACAACAAAGATTATGCTACGTTTGCTCGGTTAGTTGATGAGAAACGACATAAGTTTTCTGAGCACGTATCTAGTAAAGTAGGGCTACTCCGAAAAGCCGTTTACGTAGTTTCGGATATATCTGTCACTGTCGCTCATGCTGGTATTTCGCTTTGTGTGAGAGGGATGGAAACATTCGATCTTCGGATTACGTTTTTAGGAGTAGCCCCGGTGTACCTGCGCGCTGTTTCTAAGCAAATACGATTAATCTTGGAAGTCGTCGATTTATCTAATCATTATCGGCAATAATAGTCTTAGTTA